CGACGAGTTGCTTAACATCTGCCAAAATCTCAGCTGCCATGCCATTTTATTATTTTTGGGTAGGATCGCTCCCAGTTCAAATTTGGACAGACCACTTCTTTTAACTTCCAGCTTGAACTACCCGCACTCCGATCCAAACTGCGCTCCTCTCCCCCGCAATTGCGGAGTGGTCCGTGCGTGCGGCATATTTGAAGAACGACATTATACAGTGCCCGAGACGCCCGTCCGACTCGGGCCTGGACCATAGGTAAGGAAATGATTTTTCTTACCTCACGCCACCGGAGACGCACGGTCGAATGAAAAGGACCAGTGAGATCTTTTGTTTCCTGAAGCCCCGCCGTCAAGCTGATCTGCCGAGTCCCTTTGGTGGTATCGTTCGTAATTATTTTTCAACCACGTCCCTATGCGGGGAACTACAGCATAACACGACGCTCGGTCTACAGTGCCCTGATTTCTCCTCAATCCTGGCTCACCCTATCCGACCCCTCAATTGTCCAATTCCCGGACGGTGCGCGCGGCATGCCCAAGCCGGGGAAGGATGAGGGTGTCCAGCCTCTTCTGGAGCGTGCCACCGGGCACCGCCCAGCCGTCGGGGATGCCGAAGGCGATGTTAGATGGCGAGACGTCGTTTACGTCCACGACCGACGGGTCTGCGGGCTCGGCGCGCTGTAATCATAATCGCGTGAGTTTAATGACGCACGTGGGGGGAGTGGGAAGGGGACGCACGAATTTCTTGAAGCCGCAGGTGTCGGCCGGGATGGGCTTGCCGTTGACCGGGTCCTGGGAGCCGCCGATGAAGGGGGCGACCCAGTTCGCGGGCTTGGGCTCGAGGGGTACGCCGCCCTGGATCCGGATGCTGGAGAAGAGGAGCATACGGGGTGAGTCGGGTTCTGGAGCGATAGCAACGAACTTACTTTGCGCAGTTGTGGTAGAGGGGGAGCTGCTTCGTGGGTACGTTGTTCGAGTGGAAGCCTCCGATGGCTGTTCGGACGTGGAATGTAAGCGATAGAAACACATGAGCGGTGAGCGGGAATTGATACGCACAGCTGAAAGACAGGACGTAGTCGCCTGGACGCGGCAGTATAAGATAAGTGAAAATCGGGTGAAAGGGAAGGTAAACGCACCATCGGCGACCCAGTTTGGAATCGTGATGTTCTTGCCGACACAGACGTGCTTGTCCCCGACGTCCTTGCCCTTCTTGTTACAGCCACCTACGAATAATGGGTCAGTGCGGGGTGCGGGGCGCAGAAAAATGGAACTCGCCGGTGTAGCACTGGCCGTTGATGATGTTCTCGTTCTTGAGGAGCACGGCGTTGTCAACCTTCGCTGGGTGGCCCTCGGCAAGAGCGAACTTGATAAAGCCGCCTGTGGAGATCCGAGACGTCAGCTTGACGCTCGGGATCGGGACGCCGGGGGAGGGACAGACCTAGGTGATTGTTCCTATGGACACGTTAGACACGGGCATACGGGACGAGCGAGAAGTACGTACCAGAACCATTTAGGCTCGAACGATTGGCCTCGAGAGAAAGCGGTGGTGTCGGTGACGTCGGTGCGCGTGTTCTCGCAGGCGTTGGCGCCCTTCTTGCTGAAGACGTAGTCCTTCTCCTTTCTGGGCTTGGGGAAGAACATGTGCGTGTGGGCGACGACCGAGGACAGGAGCCCGCAGAGAACGAGCAGGCGGAGCAGGGTTGTTGAGGCGGGCATTGTGTGTGTTCGTCGCAAGAAAAAAAGAACGATGGTTGTGGTAGTGAAAAAGAGGGACTAGCCCGAGCTCAAAGCAAGCGGAGAAAAAAGTAAAAGGAGAAGTAAAAGGACCGCAGGTGAAGAATGACTTGCATTCATCTGCGCCTTTATGTAGTAGGATTTTCGGAGCTATAGGGCGCTTAGCCCCATGAAACAAGTAAGATATAGGCCCGGGCTATGTCGGCTTCGGGGTTCAGAATAATGCGAGGCTTGGTTTCATTCAATGCCAAGACTGGTGGCTCGAAGTCGGATCCCGAGGATCCCCGTATGCGTATCCATCTGCCAGGGCTGAGCGCTGAGTGCGAACGGCGGTCCACCATAAAAGGTGATTCTCGGGGTGTAGTGATCGGTTTTCGGGCGGAGTATTCATGACCGGAGATCAGCGTTCGAAACACTCTGGGCATGGGCTTGGCATGCATTCAGAACCCCGTGTCGTCAGGCGGATGGGACCACGGTCGGGGGACAAGGGTGACGGAGGCGGGAAGACAAGGAAGAAGGAGGAAGGTGAGACATGCCATATTGGCGCTTAATACGTCTGTCCGTGCGTGATCCGCGTTGATCCTGTAATTCCTCCTTGATCCGGAGACGCGATCGGGCCAAAAACGTAGCCTTTGCGAACGAGGCTCTCTCCGACGTAGGCATCCAGAATTCACCTCCGGGGGACGTGCCTAATTACGCTCACTCTATTTCATTCCGCGAAACGTCGGATGTTTAGTTCAACTTTATTTCAGATGCGAGGGTATGAAAAAGATTGATATCCAAATCTGATCCAACCCCAGCGTGTAGTATCCTGTCTCTATTCTCTGTAGTTGGATTCATTTCTGAGATCTCTACAATACGCAGGAATCAATGACGAGTGAGAGATTGAAAGAAAATGACCAAACGGGTCAGACGGATGAGCGGATCCCAATTCGAACGGGCGTCCTGCTGACATTGTCACACTGAGGTGCAAAGAGATTATTCAATTGCAGGTGCACGCCACGCGCTATCCGGTCTCAAAGACAAAGGAGCGACCTTTGAGAAGCCCGTCCGCTGCACGCGTTGCGAATAAACTTATACCGAATATCTCCTCCCTGTCCCTGCCGAGGGGTCATCCGACGTCGGCGATCTGCGATGTGTGGATTTCCGGTGCCCGAGTCGAGCGGGAATATTGATCGATTCCCGTCCGGTACGCTCCCACACTAAGCGGTCTGAAACGCAAAGCAGTGACGTGCGAGAAGGCTGTCTGCTCCGATGGTTACAAAACCAAGAGTATGGTTGTTACATAAATAATATCCAAAACAAAATGCCGAATAAGTCGCTTCTCACCAAGTCTGATGGAAATCCTGCTCCCAGGAATCCATAGGGCCGGCGGGCCTAAAAAGACGAAAGAGGCAAAATATGACACCATCTCAACTGCCCATGCCCGAATCCCGAGTCGAACGGGCCCCCTGCTGAATGGCTATGTTACCGCCTACATCGATGGCAGGTGCGCACCGCGCGCTATCCGGGCTGAATGTCTGGCTGGGCGCTCACAACTTGGCAGAGATTACACACCACGTCGTCGAATAAGTCTGAATCTGTCCGGTACAGAGTTTGCAGGCGGCGGGGGTTCCTGTCGGATAATCTGGAATTAGATTTACCTAAGAGGGGTGGGAAGTGAGAATATGACTGGTGTTTATTCCCTCGAGGACGAACCTCCAGGAATCCGGCGCGGAGTAAGAAAATAAAAGAGTTGATGATTCCCTCCCTACGGTCCAAGCCCGAGTCGAACGGGCGCCTCGTGCACTGTGTAATGTCGTTCTTCAAAATACACCGCGCGCGGGGGCCACTCCGCAGTTCGACCTTTCCCTCGTAGAGTGGAGGTCGAATAACTGTGAGAAAGATGGCGTATGCTGGGGAAAACAAATGACGAACAGGAAGCGAAGAAAGTTCTCCAGGAAATATATAGGGTTTTGAAACCTGCGAGCGCGGTCAATGAAATGATGTCAATATGAACCGAGGTCCCCATTCCCATAAATCTGGACTCGCGAAGGAAAAATCTGGGGAGAAGTGACCAAATCTCGAATCGAACGTGCGTCCTGCTAAACCGGATGGATGGCAGATACACGCTAAGCGCTATCTGGTCTCAGATGCAATGCAGCGTCCTTGCATAAACTCGTCTGCTACACGTATTCTGAGCGCAGTCGACGCCTTGAGAGCAGAATCACAATCCCCTCAGTGTGAATATGTCCGCCCTAAGAAATGTGTTCCTTCAGTCCGTCCGTCCTGCTCAACAAAAAGGGCCGACGATTTGTGTACGCCCGGATCCCGAGTCAAACGGGAGGTCTCCTGAATCTATTCTGGCCGGTGAGTCGGAAGGCTTGGGTTAGATGTGTATCGGGTGATTTTAGAAGTTGTGCAAAGAAAGAATCTCACTGCGTTTCATTCGGCCGCAGGCGGTGGTGCGGAGTAAGAAAAAGATGGCATTTTGATCCCTCATGATTCAAGCCCGAGTCGAACGGGTGTCCCCTGTATACTATGGTTAGACTGTTGCCATCGGATGCAGGTTTGGGCCACCCCGTAATTGGACCATCCTACTATGGATATGAACGTGAATAAATGTCAGACCCACTCCCCCAAAATCTGGAGCCACGAAGCATCAGAGCTCGAGTTGTACGGGCGTCTCCCGCATACTATGTACATGATTGTCTCATGCAAAGCAAATGAGGGCCACTCCAGAGGTGGACCTTCCTCCTAACTTGAGTGGAGCGAGGCTAGCTGCGGAGGATGATTGATAACTGGAAGTTCAAAATAACGAACCGAAAGCGAAGAGAAGTACTCCCCAGGACATCCAACCCCCGGGATGAGAATATGTGAGTGGGGTTAATAAAAAGAACGAGAATGAGGTACTCTCGTGGATTCTGCACTCGTGATGCAAAATTGCACTGAGACTGAGCCATGGTCCAAGCCTGAGTCGAACGGGCGCCACCTGCAGATTATACACTCTAGCGGCACTTATCATAGGATGCAGGCGCGGGCCACTCCGCACTTGGACCTTAACGTTGTGAAATGGAACCTGGAGAGGTGCGAGAATCCTGGTGCATGCAGGTTCAAAAGTACAAACCGAGGGTGAATAGATATCTTCAGGAAATACAATAACATCCCGCGAACGTGGCTAATCAAATTAAGCCATACGAGCGACGCGCACAAGAGCTCGCTCACCCACTCGCGTGAATGAATCAGCCCCCGATGGGTAGCACCACCGATCCAAAAAGAAATTTCCGTCGGACATCTCATGGTCCAAGCCCGAGTCGAACGGGCGTCTCCTGCATATACTTCAGATTCCATGTACATATGATGCAGGGGCAAGCCACTCCCCAATTGAACCTGGGTACAGTGGCATGGAGCGTGAACAGGCGCAGGAGTATGAAATGGGCTCTAGGTTATTGAAACTCACATTTGGGAGGTGATGTCGAAAGCCAGCAACACACGCCAGTGGGGTGAGAACTCGCAAGCGCAGTAAGCAATATAGTCGCAATACGAGCCGATTCAACGAAATCTCGCTAGTCAAGCCACCCACGCGAGAAAAAAAATCTCCTCCCCGCGGGCCAAGCCCGAGTCAAACCGGCAACCGCAGGGTATGAATCCTGCAATCTTCCATGTGACGCAGGCGCGGGCATAAAAATCGACAGAGACTATACATTCCAACGGGGGGGTATGAACCTAGCGGTGAATAAAAAGTGAGAAAAATATTCGATTGCAAACATACGGTCCAAGCCCGAATCGAACGGGTGTCTGCTGCATATCATGAGCAAGAAGCTTCAGGGAATGCAAGTGCGGTCCACTCCGCAATCGGCACTTCCTGCTGTGGAGGCTAGCATTGTGATATGCGGGCCATTTGAAAGAAAGAAAGAAAAAGGTGAACCGTACGGGGAGTCTGTGGCGTTCGAGAAGTCGAGTCCCGAGCAAGTAGAAGAACACCCAATGAGATCAGAATGTCAGATTACTGTCGTAGTGAGCAGGGGATCGGTGCGATAAGTCCCCCGCACCGTAAAATTGGATTGCTGAGACGTCCGATTGCAGGGATGTCGATGGGCGGCCGCAGGCATGCAAGAGAAAGCTAGCAACGCAAGGAATCCGAGAGACTCCGATCACCAGTGTAGGGATAGCTAGTCTAACCCATAAAGGCTAAGTAGAGGAGCAGAGCAGAGCAGCACAGCAAAGTTTGTCAGCGAGCAGAGAAGGCGACGGTGGTGGTTAAAGAGGAAAGGCACGGAACATTCGGCATCGCCTGCCACGTGGCTCGGCTGTTCGGTGCCGCGCATCCGCGATCTCCAAGTGATCTCTCTCCGGTCTTCGCACCGCTCATCGTGCGCGCTGAATCTTTCCTTTACTGGTGGTACGCCCAAGTTCTGCCAGCGTTTTCAAGCCGCTCAGCGCGTCCCACGCTACCCGCCCTCAGCTACGCGCGCCCCATCCAGTCGTCACCAGGCCCGTCATCCTTGTCCTCTCCGCGTGTTCCATGCTCCTAGGTCCTGGTGCACTCTCATCACAGTTCTCCGTATCAACGACGAACATGGAGGCAACTTAATGACGACTGGCGCACTTTCCGCGCTCGCATCCCCTGCTTGCCACAGTGCCAGCTCTCCGCCCTATATTCTCCGCCGCCCTCCTTGTCAACGCCGTGCGTTACGCAGGCCCGCCGATAGCTACCGCCCCGCCGTGTCACCCCGGCGCCACGAGCGCGTATCTGCCCCAGACTGAATCTACGCTCCGCGGGAGACGCCCACACCCTGCCAACGCAGCGCCGCTTCCACAGGTAGTGGAGTGCGGACTTGGAGCGCGGGCGAAACCGTGCCATACTTCCCACGTCGGTGCACCTTATCTTGTACACCCTCACCGTCCCTCTCTTCAAGTCCGTACCCTGGCTCCTTCATCCGCTCGTGACCGCCATGGCGGTACCGCGCCGCGCTCGGCGTCGTCGGTTGACCATGTCCCACGGCGCTCAATCTTAGCCGTCCGACGTGCGCCTCCGGTGGTGCACGACCGGTACGTCGTCCCCAACTCATCCACCGCTCACGATCACAATCGATCCACCCCCAGCACTCGTCTGCGCGCCAGACTCGACCGGCTGCTCCGACCCGATCAGCGTGCAGTCTCGCGGGTCCGTCGACGTGCCACATTCCTATTCGCAATGGGATCGCCGGATATCAAGAGCAAATCTGCACGCATGCTCGGCGCAACAACACCGTGGTCAAAGAGCAAAGTGTGGTGCGCAGCCTACGATTAAATGTTAATCATGATTTATGGAGGGCTCCGAGGGTCGTCCAAGCTTGGATTCTCGTGATGCACAAGTCTGAACACATCTTCAAAGTACGTGGAATTTATGGAACCGCCACTAAAATCTTCCCGTGGGCGAATCCGCATCTTAGAGAGCTGAATATACTTTTAAAAGTCTGAATTATCCGAGCCGACCATCTCATCTTTGTCATCTGTTTTCGCGTATGCAGCGTCTCGCCCAGGGCGATTCTCATTTCGATTTGTGTATACCCGCAGAGTCCCGCAGATGGTCCGACGGAAGGCCTCGGAGCTGCGGAGGCGGGGAGGGGGAGAAAGGGAAGTGGGCAAGGTAGGGCAGTTGATGCAGCTAAAAAGGTATATAGACTAATTGAACGAAAGCATTACAGTCTGAGTCGCCGGGATATCGATCCCACCCGCCACAGTCCCCGACTCAGTCGTCAAACTCCCACTAACACGCGCATCGCTCGTCTCGTACGTCTGCCCGCCCCAGGTCAAATTTGATACATCCTCAGCATGACTGGTGCGAAGCATCAGTTCCACGTCTCGGGAGGGTATAGACACTACCCACTTTATTATGAGACGCTTGACCGAGAACGACGTCGGGGCACTGCCTGAGCCGCTGAAGGATAGATTCACGTGCGTGCTCGGCCGGGCGGTGGTCGTGGTCGTGAGGTACGCCAAGGAGTTAATGAAGATAGCCCTCTTGAGGGAACCATTTTCGTAGAAAGCATAGCCCGAAAGCCTGGTGTCACTGATGCTGAGTTCAGCGACCTGTGTATCTCCGCTGTCGCCAATCGCTTCGGCGATGATGATTGCGGCGTAGTATTGCGGCTGGATGTGAGGGGCTTGTGGCGTGGCAAGGGTTGAGCCGTCCAAGATCGAGCGCGTAAGTGTCAGAGGCTGGATCTAGTGGAAGAAGCAATCAGGGTAATGCATATGGCTGGCCGTATCCACCATACCAGGTTGTACTGGAACTTTTGTGAGGACTTATTTCAAACAGTGAAGTAATCGCCCACTTTGTAACCAATGCCTTCATGGAAGTATACCTGCGTCGCGCCAATTTGCGAGCTGCGAGCGTGAGAAACAGTAGGGAAATCAATCTAAAACACCTACGCGTATAGAGCATAGTCCAACTAGTTTGAATGTAGGTCAGACTCAGGAAATCATATCAAGAGGCACATACAGTCCACAGCGCCGCCCCAGCAGTGTTAGAGACTCCCGGCGCACCCTGAATTCTTTAGCATGCTGACATGCAGAAAACACGACCAATTTACGTGACAAGAATAGCTGTTAGTCTCGCCAAACACATAGTTTAGTCCCTGGGCGTGGACCGCCTCAATATCGGGAGTGAAGCTCGCCAAGTTGGAACGAATGGTCGCCTTAGTCATCAGATCTTGAAGAAGGCTTTCGCTTCCGGCGCAGAACGAGCCTCTGCGATGGCAGGGGTATCAGCACAGAAAAATAGCAAAGATGGGAACATTCACGAGTAATGGTGCTGCGAAATGGTCTTAATGAAGCCGCCGGGAACGGAATTGAGGATGCCGTTCGCGAAAATGCCTTGTGGGGAGAACCCAGTTGTGGTATGCGACGATCCAGCGAATGCGCCGCCCCAGATGCGGGTGTTGGAACTTGATAGCTTGGCGGTGTTCGTGAGATTCGTCGCGTAAGTGATCCATCTGGCAGACGAGTCAGCAGTGGAGCGGACGAATACTCGAGGCACTGACTGCGGGGTGTATTGCTGAACGGTGTAGGTCGAGGCACGCAGGCCATTGCCACTGTACAAGTCGGCCTCATTTCCCAGCTCCAAATTGTCGAGGGTGATGCCCGCCTGAGTGAACGCCGACGACCCAAACGCGGTAATGATTGCCTGCGTTTCCAAGAAAACGGCCTGAAAATAAGTTTCAATTTTGAGTGGGAGGCATGCGTCATTGGTCAAAGTGGGCCGACCGTTAGGTTCGCTCCGCCAAAGTTCACGCCCCATGTCACTCCAGTCCCTGAAAAGGGGGGATGAGCCAAAGCGCGGGTCGCAGGCTGAACGGACTCGCCTGGAGGAAGGTTTTTGGCGGCCTCGACGCGGGTAAGTATCACGCCGAACCCCACAAATCAAAAAAAAAAAAAAAAAAAAAAAGTTACCTGATAAAATCCCGGACCGGCCACGATGCTCGAGGCTTCCGGATATGGGACCGTGGTCGTCGGGGGAGGGAACTGGGCTTGGACGCCCTCAACATTAGGGTTGAAATTCGTGTGGTCTTCACTGTCCGCGCCAATTCTGATCTGGGGTGGGAGACCAGTAATCTCGACGATGTTGTCCAAGCAATTGAAGAAAAAGGTGTTCTGAATGGCATTGCCAGACCAGTCGAGCCATCCTGCGTTGCGTGAGCGAGCGCGATAGCGAATAACAAATAAATTTACGGTCTTGCTCGATTGAAAGCGAAAGGAGATTGCCTGTAACCGCAGTTGCGGACCCAGCCGTGATGGGGATGGAGACGGAGTCTCCGCCCGAGCTAGTGCTCCCAGAACCGGGTGTCGTTGTCAGGGTAAATCGTTGATTGGCGTCGGGTTCTTGCGGAATGCAGGTCCAGATTTGCATCTGCGGGCGAGGTGAGATGGAGAGGCGGGAAAGGGAGAGGGCGGGACATACTACAGTGCCGTCTGCGTCCGCACCTTTGGTGAGATCCAAACAGAAGCCCATCCCGGTCCAAGATATGCTTCCAGATGTGCTGCTAACCGTCCACAACTGGTTTGAATCTTGACTAGTACAGCTCCAGATTTGCAGCAGCACACCAGAGGCCGCTACACCGTTGGTAACATCCAGACACATGTTCCCGTACAGGACAAGCGTGCCGGATGTAGAGACCGTCCAGTTCTGCGAAGTCGAGCCAGAGGAGATACAGTCAGAGATGGTGACCGGTGTTCCGTCCGCGTTTGAGATCGCAGTTAAGCACATACCAGAGTCGACTGAGGGGTGAATGAACTTCGACTCTGCGGTTGCAGGCGGGGTCGAGGCGCCGGAGCCGGGTCCGGTCGTGATCGTGAACATCTGGTCTTCATCGATGGTTTGTGGGGTACAGGCTGGATTATTTCGTT